TATTTCTTATACAAAATTGCAAATTGAGAACGAAATGTACTGTACGTGTGATCTACTGATTACACGCAATACGTGGCACAATCGCAAATAACACTTGTCTGCATTATTAAATTTATGGTCAGGTTCGTGCATTACATGCGTTTTTGAAAGATTGGCTTCATGTTGGAATTGTACTGTATCCGTATGACATAACAGAAACAGAGAAGTTAAACGCACGCACCGTTTCATATAACCACGATCGTCCGCGTCATGCGATTGCATCACATAGTGGAATTGTGTCGCGCCGCGTTACTGCTCCGCCCTGGTGGAATGCTCTCCCTTGCTCTTAGCTCCATCATCGTTGACGACAACAGTAAACTGAAGCATATTTGTATTAGGTTATGTTATGTAATGTATGTATGTATGTATGTATGTATGATGATGTTATGTATGTTATGTATGTATGTATGTATGTATGTAGTATTGTATGTATGTAGTGTATGTACTGTATGATATGTATGTATGTATGTGATGTACTGTATGTATGTATGTATGTATGATCATTGTATGTATGCTATGTATGTTATGTATGTTCATGTAGATGAGATACATAGCTAGACGGATAGATGGAATGGATGGACAGATGGACTAACGGGATATATGGATAGATGGATAGATGGAGTAACATGGATATATGGATTGAGATTATAATAGTATGGTATGTGGTTAATAGTCAGGGGTAAGATAGAGTTGATATGATAGATAGATAGATCAGAATGAGATAGATGTAGTATAGATAGATATGATAGATAGATAGATAAGATAGATAAGATAGATAGATAAGATTAGATAGATAGATTAGACAATAGAGATAATAGAATAGATGAAGATAGATAGATAGTACGATAGATAGATAGAGCGGTAGAATGGAATAGTTGAATTGATTGCTAAAATAGATGGAGGTATAATATGAGAGAAGATGGAGAGTTGAGTACATAAATAGTGATAGATATACGGTATATAGATAGATTTACAAAGTTACTATGCTTGAACCTGGCGGTCCCATGTTAGAGGCTAAAATATTCGGCTCCGTACTGGCTCGCTCATGATCTGCTGAGGTAGGCGTCCGTTCGTTTGCGGCCAGCGTCAGTACAAGGGAGCAATCAACGGGCAGCCGCGGGCGTCCGGCGGCGCTCGCACGCGGTCGCTTCCACGTAGTTACGACGACCGAGAGCCGTGACGAACGACCAACGACGACGCTGACGATGTTTTACCTGAGAAACTGCATAGCAGTACTGCGCCACAGCGCTGGCCTACGCGTTGCCGCCATTGTTCGCTCACACGTTGAGCGGACAGCCCTAGGTACACACACGGATGCGCGTCTCGGGTCACGACGAATTAGGATGAGAATGGTATGGGGATGCAGATGACCCGATGGGATGGAATGGGAAATAAATAAAATAGAATTCGTATATGATTTATGTAATGTTAGGATTAGGCTTAGATTATTGTCAATGACATTGACACAAAATAAATTCAAGGTCGTTAGGTTAGCGATAAGATATGTTATGGTTGATTGTTAGGACTGAGGATTAGATCAGGGATTAAAATTGGAGCATAGACTTTCCGTGCTGTCACCACCGCTTTCGTTCTAAGTAGAATGTAAGTGTCGTTGCAGTTGCCTTTATGAGTCTCGCTCTCTTACGTATAGCCCTTTACATGTAACGGGCAATCTGGATCACGTTCTATTTTTTATATTTATCAGGACAAAGGACGAAGGCTTGTTATCATTTCAGTGAAGCACTCTCCGTAAATAACACTGTTTAATTCGATGTAAATATACTATCTGCTACCGTAGCTAGATACTCTATCTATCTATCTACTCTTTCTTTCTCTATCTATCTATCTTATCTATCTATCTATCTATCTATCTATCTATCTATCTATCTATCTATCTATCTATCTATTTATTTATCTATCTATCTATCTATCTATCTAACTATCTATCTATCTATCTATCTATCTATCTATCTATCTATCTATCTATCTATCTATCTAACTATCTACTATCTACTATCTACTTATAGTCATAATAAATTACAGTCATAGATGTTTGTATGTTTACATATATGTATAACATAATTATGCATATTTGTATATATACACATACATATACAAATACGTGCTTCAGTTTACTGTTGTCGTCAACGATGTGGAGCTAGCAAGGGAGGCATTTCTCAACCAGGGCGAGCATACGTCGGGGCGACCATACCACACCATGCTGCGTCGCTACGTGGCAGACGAACGAGGGGAGATGAACGGTGCGTGCGTTATACGCTCATGTTCTAACATCACGTTATTACTACACATTATATCAAGTGCACATGAACGCAAACGCCAAGGGCGCGTCCGCTCCCGAAAGCATTCATGTTTACGGACAGGAAACCAGAGAGACAGGCGCAATATAAGGCGACCGGCAGATAGCTAAAGCTGGTAATGCTCTATGTATTTTATAATAAATTCATAAATTAGTAATAGAACAAAATACAACTCATTCATAAGCAAACAAATAATTTAATCTACAACAAAATTGTGTTGGCGTATTGGTTGCCCCACCTAAACAGCGTAGAGGAAAAGCTCATTGCTTCTAAATCCTATTCAGGTGGTCAAGAATTTAGGGCGTTCATGTTTAATGAAGTGTACATCAAACGTATTCATTACATGTGTTGTTGCAAGGGCTTTCTAAGCTCGTTATTAGCTTAGAAATTTATATATATATGGTCGAGCATGTGTTAGCGGCCACCTTCATAGAACGGTCAGCCGTCCATAACAGAGATTTGAACATCAAGTACGTCAACATAACTCGTTTTTGTCGAGTGTCCATTGAATTTCCTGTTTGACTGTATGTAAAAATAAGCACGGGGATAAATGATCCGGGATTTTGATGATAAAATCTATCATTCTTGCAATGCATGCAATATATATAATTATACGCCCCGGTGAAAATAATTAAATTAATTAATTAATTATTGATAGTAATAACACTACACAAATATACAATATATAATTATTATTAATGGCACAGACATCAGAAAAGCGCATGAAGGCACGTGAAACATAGATATATTATGTGCCTTTGTTGATATATTAAGAATAAGCAATTTAATAGAACAATAATTTTAACATGATAATTAACATTTTCGCGGTGATATTAGATTCTCGTGTCTCAAGCAGGACTTGGTATGAGCGCGGGAAAGCGCTGGAAAGAACAGAGGAAGTTCGCGCTCAGCAAGCTGCGTGAGTTCGGCATGGGGAAAGTCAGCATAGAGAAGAAGATCCAGGAGGAGACGTCCGCCTGTCTCGCTCATCTAATCGACACCAATCGGGAGCCGCTCGATCCACAGGTAGAAAGAATAACCCAAAATATTTTTCGCACTAGCTGTCTCTATCTCTCTCTCGGCACACACACACATATACAGAGAGAGACAAGCGCACACACACACACACACACACACACACACACGCGCACACGCACACGCACACGCACACGTATGTGAGTATGTATGTATGTGCGTGCATGTGTGCGCGCGCGCGCGCGTGTGTGTGTGTGTGTGTGAGTAGTGTGTGTGGTTGGTGTGTGTCGTCGCGCGTGTATGAGTGCGTAGTGTGCGTTTAGTGTTGTACATACATAAATATCATATATATACGTTCTTATGTTGGCAACGCAGGCTCTGCCAGCAGTTGTGACGTTAAACGTGATTGACCTCTATTACACTCGGTGCTCGGTACGACTACGCCGACCCCGCCTTCCTCAGACTGAACGACAACATCAACACCATCTTCTACGATATCCAGTTACAGGTACGTACATTCAGTAACATATAGATACACACTGTCGGTAACATACAGGTACGTACGTACGGTAACATACAGGTACGTCGTCGAACATACGGTAGGCTTACCATCGGTAACATTCAGGTACGTACCGTCTCCCCGTTACATATACAGTGAAAACGTACCGTCTGCTAACGTACAGATACGTACCTCGGGTAACATTACAGGTACGTACCTTCGGTAATATACAGGTCGTTTACGTCTGGGGTAACATTACAGACGCGTTACGTACCTGTCGGTAACATAAGGTACGTACCTTCAGTAATATACAGGTACGTTACGTCGGTAACATAACAGGTACGTGGCGTCGGAACATATAGGTACGTATCGTCGGTAACATACAGGTATAAGTACCGATGGTAACACATTTGGTACGTACCGTCGCTGTAACATACATGTACGATACCGTCTGATAACATACAGGTACGTACCGCTCCGCGTAACATACAGGGATCCCACGTAACCGTCTGGTATCATACAGGTACGGTACCGTCGATAACATACAGGTTATACGTACCGTCGGTAATATTACAGGTACATTTGCCGTCCAGGTAACACTACAGTACGCATCGTCAGGTAACATACAGTGTACGTAACCGTCTGCTAAGCATACAGGTACAGTGACCGTCATGGTAAGCAAACAGGTACGTACGGTCGGTAACATACAGATACGTACCGTCGGTAACATACAGCAGTACGTACGGTCTACGGTAACATACAGATACGTACCGTCGAAGTAACATTTAGCGTTTTTCAGTTATTATAGGTCGACCTATAACCATTGCGGTTATAGAAATGGGTCATTTAGGTCCAGTGAAAAATTTCTGATAAGATCACTGTGTGAAATGCTTGGTGGTTCATTCCACGTTATACCCATGGTCAGTGAGAATCTGTTGCCATTAGGCTCCTCTAAGAAAACAGAAAATCTCCGGACAAAAGTTGTCATTTGGCTCCTGCATACGGAAATTGACCCTACGCGGTATGTGGTTGCACACACAGGGCGATCTTAACTTCTACTGTTGCTGCGACACCTGCCGGTTCTTTCAAGCGCATATGAGATGGCTGGACCGCGGCGTACGCAGTGGGGCATCTACTGTTGAACAAGGAGCTGAAGAGTAACATAGCGATGAGACACGAGAAGCAGGCGACGCGGAGAATAGAGGGAGACGTGAGAGACTACTTTAGACGACTACCTGCTAGCGCCCCACTTCCAGCCGGTCAGGCGGGTTGGGGACGGATTAACATTTCACTATGAGTCAAGCGCTGCTCACACACCCACACACAACACACACACAACACACCACACACACACACACACGACACAGTCTACATTACGCACACACACACACACACACACACACAACAACACAAAACACACACACACACATCAACACACGAACGACACGATACATGCATCACACACCACAAACACACACCAGCACACAGCACCACACACCACACATACACCACCCACACGACACACACACACACACACATTTACACACTACATTCGACTATCTTACAGTAGCATTGCACACGAACACACCACACACACACACAACACACACACCACACACACAAACACACACACACAACACACCACACACACACACAGGCAAGAAACGCACTCATACACTCGCCAGCAATCATGTTAGGCGGTCTAATATGATATGAATACGCGCGCACCGACAACACACATGCAACGCACACTACACACACATGACAACGATGGTAATGAATGTGTGGATATGTAGATTAACATATCTCTATTATTACGCACGCACGCGCGGGCGCACACACACCACGCGCGACCACACACGCACACACGCACACCGCACACGACACGCACTACACACACACCCTAACACAACGCACAACCAGCACACACATCACAACATAAATCGGGCACACACACACACACACACACACACACATAAACGCGCGCACACACACTCACTCATGTCGGCGTCATCTCTCAGCTTTTCAGCTGCTCATTTCTGTGCGTGATCTGTTTCTCGCCGGATCGCATACCGCTATGACGACGCTACGCTGGGGTCTGCTCTTCATGCTCAAATACCCTCACGTTCTGCGGAAAGTGCAGGCCGAGATCGATGACGTCATCGGACGAGGAAGGCTACCATGCATGGCGGACCAAGACAACATGCCGTACACGCGGGCGACAATAGCCGAGGTGCAGAGAGTAGGTGAGAAAGAAAGGCGGCGTGGTTAGTAGGTGGAATGCATCAGTAGGTGCATTCATGGACAGCAGGCCTGATTAGGTGTGACCAATAGATTTATGAAAAATACACGAGAAATCACACGTACGCAAGAAGAGAAAAGTAAAAACATAAGAGGGGTAGCGAGAGAGAGAGTGAGAGGGAGAGGAGAAAAAGGGGGTGAAGCAGCGAAAGGCAGGGAGAGAGCGACAGACAAAGGGAAAGGGGGTAGACTGATATAGAGACAAAGAGAAAAAGAAAAGGTCAATAGCTTTAAGTATAAGCATATTGCCTCACATCCTCTGCTTCCACCGCTACGTTCTCCAGGCGGTTCGTGACGTATATTCACCTTGAATTTGTTTAAATGACGACACATGCTACGTGGTAATGTAATCATCTGTTTTTCTAATTTAAATTTTGTTGGAAAACTGTCGGTGGATGCCTGGATAAACAAATTGCCTTAGATGTACAAACCAGTGTATAACGAGGCGAGGGCGGTTACTAAATGTCTAGATACTCTGTGTGAACGCCATCTACTTTTTTCTTTATTGTTTCTAGCGGACATCGTGCCACTGAATCTGGCACACAGCACGACTGCCGAGATACAGCTAGGAGGCTACGTCATCCCCGCCGGCACGGATATCCTTGCTAACTTTACGGCCATCCTCAACGACCCGAAATACTTCCCCGAACCGGAGAAGTTCCGCCCAGAGCGCCACCTGGACGAGCGTGGAGACTTTGTGCAGAACGAAGCGCTGATTCCGTTCTCTATCGGTAAAATTACTAGCGCTGCCGTTAGCTGGCGCCACCGGGTCGATGAGAGGAGAATGACGTCATATGTCAAACGACTGCAGCGGTGGCCGTCGTTAGGGACACCTGTTCGGTTGTTGGTTTGGGAGATGCTGATTGGCCCCTAATGACCCATGAGAGCACATTATTATTTTTAACTTCCCCATAGGTTCTTACACTTATTAATTAAAATGCATTTGCTGGAAATTAAATATTCAGACTTAAGTGGCACTATTAAACCTAAACAGACATGAGCTTCAGCTGTATTCCATTCGATTGTGATCACATCTTTTTACGTATTTGTTATCTTCATCGTCATTATCGTTTATGAAACGATTTCTCGAAAAAGGACGCGAATTCATTTTAAAATCACGGAATAACTCTAGCCCTGAACACGAAAATTCGGTGTCACACCAAGACTCTCTCCACCAGCCAAGCTTTGAAAACACCTCCCTAATTGATGGCGTTTGTTATTTTGCCGACAGGTCGTCGAGTCTGTCTAGGAGAGGCTCTCGCGCGAGTGGAGCTGTTCATATTCTTCACAGGCATTCTGCAGAACTTTAACATCAGGTTACCAGATGGCGTTACCGATCCGTCTATGGATGGAACCTTCGGCTTCACCTGGATGGCAAATCCGTATCTGTTACATTTCGTCGCGCGACCGTAATCCACAATGATTTCATAAAAACTTGCAACGTTTTAAAAAACAACGTCGTACGAGTGATAAACCTGTGGTAAAACGCATGCTATAAAACTGCATTATCTTACGTTTTAACCTGTAACTAAACTGCGTTACCTAACGTTTTTACTTTAACTTGTGATTAAACTGTGTTATCCTAAGAATTAACCTGTGTTTAAATTGATGAATCCAACGTTTTACCTTTAATTAAAAAAACCTGTGAATAAATTTTGTTATCCTGCACGTGGTACTTGAGATTAAAACGTGTCATAAAGCTTTTGTTAGAAAGCGTTAAGGAGATATTTTGCTGATTAAATTGTAGCAGCAATTTAATTTATGTGAGAAATGTCAGGGGCGCACTTCAATAATCCTGCAATTAGAAATAATATTCTCTCTTTAGGTTTAGTGCAAATAAAATCTATATCTTTCAATTCAAACTACTGTAGTTGTAGTATTTACCCACTTGAATAAAACACGTGATTACACTTTATTATATTCATGATTGTAGTACAAATTCAATTCGTGTACGAAACATTAGAGAGCGAAATTCAATAATTTTGTAACGAGCGAAATTCATTAATTTTGTAACTATTAGTAATGTTTTCTCGTTGAGTTTGGTGGCAATTAAACGTTTGTTTTTCAATTCAAACTAATTAAACTAAGGCAGCAATTTCATTTGTGTGAGAAACGTTAAAATGCGTAATTGAACTATCTTGAAATTTGTAATATTTTTTCTCGTTAGGTTTAATGCAGGAAATCATCACAAAAATAGGCAAAATAGTTATTACATTAATTTAATTACGATGTTTTGATTAGTATTAAATAAAATAAAATAATATTATCATAATAACAAATTAACAATTGACGTTTTATGTGCTTATGCGCTATTCTATTTTATATGTGCTCCACAATACTTATATTATTATATTATTAGAAATATTTTATAAATTTAATGAAATTAATTGCATAGGTCTTACAGAACATATCGGTAGTACGTACGCTTCATACTGTAGTTACAAAGCCAGCGTTACTATGCAATAGACATACGTCTTGTTCTCTCGAGTATTTCTCGACAATAATCTTTTTTGCATTTAAACAATTATTTTGCATACATCTCGAGAATGATCTTTTTGAATTTGTAAAACCAAAATCCAGAAAAGAATCCACACATCGAAGTTTACATACGGTTAAACATGCAATCTAACATCCGTCCATATGTATGTGTATGTTTATGTGAGTATGTATGTGTGTTATACACAGACATATGCACATATGCTCGCATACACATACACACACATGCAAATGCACATCACATCTACATGCAAATACCCATATACAAAAATGTACACGTGTAGGTACAAGTAAACGTACCCGCACAAGTAACAAGCATACATGATCGATTGTTCTGATGATTGCTGTCGGTATGTAATAACTATTTTGCCTATTTTCGTGGTGATTTCCTGCACTAAACCTAACGAAAAAAAATATTGCAAATTACAAGATATTTTAGTTATGCATTTGAACATTTCCCACACAAATTAAATTGCTGCCTCAATTTAATCAGTTTGAATTGAAAAATAAAAGTTTAATTGCCACCAAACTTAAAAAGAAAACATTACTAATAATTACAAAATGTTTCGTACACAAATAGATTTTGCACTACAATCATGAATATAATGACGTGTAATCACGTGATTTAATCAGTGGGTAAAAACTACGACTACAGCAGATTGAATTGAAAGAAAACAGTTTTATTTACACTAAACATAAAGAAAGAATATTATCGCTAATTGCAACATTATTGAAGTGCGCCTCCTGACATTTATTACACTAATTAAATTGCTGCTACAATAAGCCATATCGGAAAGTCCCCGCCGCCATATTGAGGTCAGATAAGAGGGGGTATACCGTGGGTAGGATAGAATTATTCTAGGTTTTTGATCTATAATTCTCCTCACTAACATCGTACTTCAATTCACAGGGGCGTTTCTGTTTACATAAACATTTACAAATAATTATGTTTGTTGTCATTTAGGATATTTTGCAATGTTTGTGTTAATGCAAAAACTAAAAACGCACGAGTGTTTACATTAATCATGTACTTTCCTAAGCGCGCCTCGGCCATTTTGTAGCGGCTAGACATCTAGATATTAATATCTAGATATTACTGGCCGCTGCGACTCGGCAATGCGCCCACGCGAAGATGGCATCCACGCGAAGATGCCCACGTATTTAGCGAATCGTTACGGCCGACCGTTGAATCCGCAACTACTACGTTTCAACATGGACTACGTGTCGCGGAAGCTCGGACTTCCATCCCGCGATTTACTGGCGATAACGCGCCACTGTCAATTACGTTCGACGACTGGCTCAGCACTTTGAATTGGAGACAGTTGGAATTGTGTCTCGACGCTACGTCGTTACGCGTCCTTGGTCTGTCGACGCTCGGAGGTTATGCTGCTGAGTTTTCTCGCTGCCTCCTTCTTGAGCGGCCTACTATGACTTGGGAACAGATCACTCAACAGCTCACTAAACGCTTCCGCGATCTGCTGCGAGAGGTAGACGCGCAGAATGCGCTTAAGAACTTACAGCAGAATAGTGGCGAGCATATTCGCCCGTATGGCGATAGATTGTTGACTCTTGCATTGCGAGCGATTCCGGCAAAGCGACTTTCAACGACTGAGACTCAGAGCCGTCTTGTCGATATTTTTTGGATGGATTAAGATCGGTCCATACACAGCGATTGCTGCTTCATCACGCGCCTACAACGCTAACCGACGCTATCGACCTAGCAGCGGAAAAACACGTGCTAGAGTCATCTCTAGTGGCACGACGACAAAACCGTAGCGACGTGTTCACTGACCCCTATGACACGACGGAACCTATGGACGTTAACGCGATGCAACGCCCTACGACATCTGATCTCATTAGAGAGGTGCGCAGTTTGCGCACCTTCATCACTTAGGCAGTGCCACAGGTTCAGTCGCCCTCGATGAATGCGACATCCCGAGACGTGACACGACAACCCCCGCGCCAACGACGTTTACAAACACCCGCACCCCATGACGGTTCGCTACAATTGCGCCCATGGCGATCCCCCCTCACAGGACGCGACCGGCATCCACCTGTTTGTAATCAGGCTTACCTACTACCTGCTTTGCGCCAACGCGCCCCATTTCAATCTCCAGCGATGGCGCCTACCCAATATCAACGCGACACTTGTTGTTATACGTGCGGCCAACCAGGTCACTACGCGCGCGATTGCCCTCTCCACAATTGTTTCGAGGATTTTCGGCGACGCCCCCGCGACGCAATCACACCGCCGTACCCTCACGACTTTTAAGCATGCATGCATCTGCTGGGCGTGGATCGCCGACTACTGCTACGTCTTCGGCGCCAACATGCAGTGTTAAGATTGGCTCACTTTCGCTTCCGGCACTCATTGACACTGGTAGCGGTTGCACGCTTGTTGATATGGCTGCATAGCTCCGCCTACCCCCGCACATACGCGCGACTGCAAGTTTCAATGCCGTCTGCGCAACGGACGCCACGCTTCTTTCTGTCACCAGCGATAGACTACACCTTGTAGGCACTGCCACTCTGCGCATTTTACTAGGACGAGTAATCACCCTCCATAACTGCTACGTAGTCCGCAATTTAAAGCAGCAGTTCATAATAGGAGCCGACTTTCTCTCGGGTAATAGAGTAAACATCGATTTTGACCGCGGAGTGCTTGCACTAGGTAATAGTGTGGTCCCCTTGAAACTTCGTCAAGGTAGGCGATTACTCCCCACCCCCAACTCGCATTCATTGACCGTTCAACTGTGTTGCCTCCTCATTCGGGCCAACAGCGCTACTGTCGCGTTCCCCGCCATTTTCGCCCGGGTACGCTTCTCTTCGTTCAGTGATCTCCGGCCTTTAAGTTGTTTCGAAGTAATTCCCGCCTTATCCTACTGCCATCTCTAGTCAAAGTCACAATGCGGCACACAATTCTTTGCTGGCTTGACAATCGCTCAGATCGAGCTATCTCGTTACCTCATAACGATGTTGTCGACATAATTGAAGCCACCACCCTTCACCACATACAGGTCATTGCGCCCACGCCTCACGATGTTACAGTGCCACCACACGATAATACAACCCCGCTTTTTCATTATAATTCACTCGTGGACCACATTTAGGATTCTCGCCAGCGGGCAACGCTTCTAACATTTTTGCGCCAGCATGACGTCTCATTTGCGCATACAGACGCTCAGCTAGGGTGTACGCACCTCTGCGAATTCCAGATTATTACCCGGGAATCTAAAGCATTCAAAACACGACCCTACCGTATGTCCCCGGAGCAACAAATCATTGTCCAGCAACAGGTTGACAAGCTGTTAGAGAATGGAATAATTCGCCCCTCTATGTCACCTTGGTCATCTGGCGTACTTCTGGTTAAGAAAAAACGGGCGAGTATCGGATGTGTGTCGACTATCGACGGTTGAACTCAGTTACAGTTGGGGACACCTACCCCCTGCCGATCATTGAGGATGTCTTACAAACTATAGGTCAGGCCACAATTTTTACAACCCTCGACCTCAAACGCATCTACCATCAAAATTGGCCGAGAACGATGTTCCGAAAACTTGAGCTGCGATAATTTACGGACCCCATATGGACCGAAGAACGCACCCGCCCACTTTCAGCGTATAATCGATTACGTCCTGCAAGGGCTTCGTTACAAATGTGCACTAGCTTATATCGACGATGTGTGCATTTACTCCCCGGACTTTGAAACTCACATGTCCGACTTAGCCGAGGTTTTTGCCAGATTCGACGCGGCTAACCTCAAGATGCGCCCCAGTAAATGTGCGTTTTTACGCCAGTCCATTAACTACCTGGGCCACGTAATAACCCCAGGCTGCGTCTGGCCCGACCCAGAGAAGATCTCTGCAGTGCAAAATTGGCCCCCCAAGCACGCCTACAGCTGTACGACAGTTTTTAGGATTCACCAACTACTATCGTAAGTTCATTAAGGGCTATGCCGATATTGGCACACCTATTGACCCTTCTCACCCACAAGGACAAATTATTTGTCTGGTCAGACGAGGCACAGACTGCGTTTCAGTCTCTTCGTAAGTGCCTCACTGAGGCTCCCATTTTGGCATTGCTCGATGGAAGCTGATCGTTCCGCCTCTATTGCAACGCATCCGGCTATGCCATTGGAGCAGTTCTCACGCAGATAGACGAGCGAGAGCAAAAGCATCCA